CGGGCAGAGCCCGGGCCCCGCCGAGCCGCCCCTCTGCCCAGCGGCTTTCCCTCAGCACTGTGCCCCTCGCAGCGCGGCGCGGCGTGGGCAGACAAAGCCTCACGGGTTTTACAGTCACTTTTTGTTTGTTTGTTCTTCCCCTTTGCCGTACAGAGGCGAGACCCTTGCGAGGGCTGTGCGGGGGACGAGGAAAACAGTCTGCGCCTCTCCTGCCCAGGACAAAGCATCCAGAGTCCACGTGGGGTATAATCTTCTCTGCTCACTTGCTATTACTTCTAGATCCAGCAGAAAACTGTGTAACAGTAAGACGAAGGAATATGATTCACCCGGTGTGATAGAAATAGGCTTTCAAGGCCAGGAGGAAAAATGAGTGAGTTAGCCAAAGTATCCGAAACCCGCGGGAAGTGCCTGGACCAGCCCACAGGCCTGTACAGCAGGTTCCCCCAGCCCACCCCTCCATCCCTGCAAAACACAAGCATGAAAAATGTGGCTGCACGTGCAAAAAAAGCCCTGCAAGTGAACAAGAGAAGGGGCCGAGAAATCTGGTCTGGATAAGCCTTCAGGAACACCGGAGATTACAGTTCAAAAAACACACACCGCATAAAACTAAAGCTAATTTGCATCTCTGTCGAGTAGGTTAAAACCAAGCCAATAGATTTTACTCCTGTTTGTTTTTCCAAATTCGGGAAAGCAAAATGCTTTTGTGGGTTGTGCTCACGAGAGTTTCTAGGGCACTGTTAGGGTGGAATTAGCCCTTGCTTCAAGCATCCACAGGCTCCTCTCCCTTTCTACGGAAACCTTCCTGCCTCTGTTGGCCCCGCTGACCTGCCATCAATCTCCCGCCCGGCTGAAACGCCCTCTTTCTCTCTCTTCCCCTCAGTTATCATTTAATTCAGGAGAGAACGTCTGTGCACACTGCTTGTGAAAAAGGCCTGGTACCAAACAAAGCAGCTCTGGGGCAGATTATGAGCTGAACCCTGACCCTTCTCCCAGTCTCTGCTACACACAACCACGGAGAGATGCTGCAAGTTTATTTCTTAACAGTCAGGAGAGTTTGTATGACACCTCATGGGGGGAAAAAGGTACCTTTAAAGAGGATTTTATATTTAGGCTCCTGCCAGGCATTTCTGGTAGCCTGCGC